CCAAGAGATGAGGAAAGAGGCAGACTGTGCACCAGTAAACTGTTTGCTGGCTGCCTGTTCAGCAACTGCGTTATAACTAAGTTAACTCAGAGACATGGGGCCTTTTAATAAACTGGTCTGCCAACTGGATGTTTTAGTTTTCTCCTTAATCAAGGTAATTTTAAAAAAATGAATTGTTTAATGTTGTTTTAATACTGGGTAATGGTGTCATCATGAAAGTAAAATGTGTGGCATAATTTCCCAGATATGCTGAGTAAAGTTTTCTCTTTCATCTACCCCCTTTGTTTTGTATATCCTGTGTATTTTTTATGGAAGTGGCCAGCCTTTTTACAACATTTCCCTACCTCCTTTTTATCATGAACTCAAATGGCATTTTGGTTTTGTTAACTCTGGGGATAACTGGAAGAATTGTACATTCTGATTTTGTTAATTTTAAATTTTTTCATTTTCATTGAGATAAGTGGTTTTGGATTTAACTTGCTTTCTATGAAAAAGGTTAGGTTTTTTTTTTTTTTTTTAATTTTCTATGATATGGTAGTGTCATAAGACCCTGTCTTTCACCTTTTATTCTCGGGACATTGTTCAATGTCACATACTGATTTTCAGCAAATGCTTACTCTGTAAACATCATTTTCAGGAACATAAGGGACTGTTTATATCTGTTTTTCTTTCCTAGTTAATGGCAGGAATTGTAAGTTGCCTTCTATTTTGTGCGAGTGCAGTGCTTGGCATCTAGTAATACTAAGCACAGCAAGCATTCAGTTGAAATAAATGAGTTGTATAGGGTTGCCTGCAGAAGCTCAACTTTATAAAACCTTGGGTTTCTTCTGATCATGATAATCCCAGCACCCAGGAAGCTGAGGGAGGAGGCTTACCATGAGTTTGAGATATTTTCACCCCAGGATTTCTGTTTTCATTGCATCATTTAAATTTTCAGGTCGATTCCGTTGAAGTAAGCATGTATTTATTAAATGATGTAAGTCAGCGTGATTGTAGTATATAGTATAGGATAAGTAGTATCAGTTTTTAAAAAAATGTTATTGGGAATGCTTATGTTGTAATAATTCTTTATCTCCTATCAAAATTATTTTTCATTTTTATTTTTATTTTTTGTACTGAAGATCGAACTCATGACCTGGCACTTGCCAGGCAGGCTCTTATGTAGCTGAGCTAAATCCCCGGCTATTAATAGTGCCTTTAAAAAAAAGTTCGTAGAACTGGGAGTTGATGACATAATTCTGTACAATTAGGCTGAGGCGGGAGGATTAGAAGTTAAGAGGCCAACCTAGATTAGATATCAGTTTTAAGGCTGGCCTAGACTACAGAGCAAGAACCTGACTCAGAAACCAAGCAGAAAGGTTTGTAATCAATGTCTTGCCTTGTTATCCTGGGTAGCAACTACATTTTAAAATATTTGAACATATATGTTAGTGGACTAATAAAGTTTTTACAGGGTTTTAGTGCATATACCTCAAAGAGTGGTATCTTGTAGAAGTTTAAATTTTCTTATGCAAAATTCATACCATGTTCATTCTTTCTCTTTCAGTAAGTTACAGATTGGTTGCATTTTATTATTATCGCTAATGAAATCATTGTGATTTCAACAAAGGATAATGTTTACCACTTGATAAATAATGTCAACTGTAAAAGAACAGTGTATTTAATACTTGTTATGCAGTTTTTAAGCTGAACATTATTTTGTGAACCAGTTTATTCTGCAATCCTTTTGTTTTTGTTTGCCTTTGGAGGAGGGTTTTTCTGTGCAGTTCAGGCTGATCTGGAAGTCCCTGTGTAGCCCACATAGTCTCAAATATGCAGTGCTCCTCTTTTCTCAGCCTCCCAAGTGCTGGGATTACAGGTATGTGCCACCACACCTCACTTCTAAATAGTGCTTTGAAGGTTGGTGGGTAGTAGCTGGCTTCCCCAAGAACAGTGGCACCTCCTCTCTATGGATACTAGGAAATGAGGAGAGACTGAACAATGCCATCAGCTACATAGCAAGAACAGGGTTTAGTATGAGTAGTGGAGAACTTGCCCTGATCTGCCTTCAGTACGGAAAGAAAATATTCATAATAATACTTTGTAGCCTTTTGGGGGTTCCTGTTTGCATTTCCAAAAATCAGTGTTTTACAGTTTGGCTCTTCCTCTGTGAGTTTCTCTCCCACTGTTTGAATCTTAGTTTAGTGCTCAGGGCACATCTCAGAGTAACTATTACACAGGTGAACTTGCCCTGCCCCCATTAACTCTGCTGATGCAGGCTTTGACCATAAGATCTACTCAGTCACCATCAGTACAAGGTTTTCCCTATACCCTCTAAGTGCCTAATATTTTAGAAAGTGCTATATTCCAGTTTTTATGTCAGTTTTTTTTTTTTTTTTTTTTTTGGAGAAAAGGTCTCACTGTATAGCCTGGCCTAGGGCTCACTTTGTAGCCCAGGATAGTTTGGAACTTGGAAAGATCCTCATGGTCAACCTCCTGAATACTGGGTACAGATGTGTACCATCATGCCTGGCTGTAATTTGGTTCTTATGTATGAGCGACTAAAATTTAATTAATAGGTGTAAGACCTTTTTTTTGGGTTAAAGGTAAAAAAATACATCCTAAGAAATCTACTGGGATTATTGGCTTTGTAGAATCTTGGTTCCAGACAAATTTAACTCACCAGCAGTTTTTATAACACTTGCATGTTTTATAGGATCCTGCTACATTTTTTTTTTAAAACCGTGTCTTGCTATGTAGTTGAGGCTGGCCTCAAACTCACTATGTAGCCCAGGCTTGCTATCCTCCTGCCTCAGCCCAAGCAGTAGCTGGTACATAGTAGTTCTTAATTTGTCCACCCCTTCCAGGTTCCTTACAGACAAATATGTAATCATTGAGGTGTGAGTATGTAGGACTTTCTGTAGTTTAGGTATATACCTACTGGGAAGGGAGAATTTTATACAGATGCTAGGTCTTTGGTTTGGGAATTTAGGTATTTGTTTGAAATCTTAGTTCAGTCCTCAGGGTACATCTCAGAGTAACTATCACACAGGTGAACTTGCCTGCAACATATTTTAATATGTTGACCCTGCCAATCTGAATTCAAGAGAATTCAGAATTGAGTCTGAATTATAAGAGAAAAATGGCATATTTCAAGAAAAATATGAAACCAGCCATAAGATACTAAGAGTATAAGTTAAGGTGCTTTCTCACTAACCTTCGACAATAGATAGTAGTATTGGGTGAGTTGTTATGGTCTTGGGTACTCTCTGGCTTAATTCTTTTCTTTATCTCATTAACTTGTTCCTTAGGTGCTATTGGCTGTACAGCCCTTTATTCTGCCCCCTATAAATGGAATAACAACAAAGAACCATTTTTGACATGAAACTTGGTTTCTAACAGAGCCATTCATTTGCGCGAGGTGGTACATGGCTGTTAATCCTAGCACTTAGGAGACTGAGGCAGAAGGATGGTTTGAACTTGGGCTAGTTTGGGATAAACAGTTTAAAGCCAGCCTAAACTGTGTCTGAAAAACAAAGCAGCCTTAGAAGCTCCTTCCAGAAGTTTTTTTTGAGCCCCTTCCATTTTCTTCTTCTTCTAATTAATTTGTATACCTAAGAAATCCAATTGCAAAAGGTTTAAAACTCATTTAAAAACAACTGATTTTTTTCAGTTTTAAAATTTTGTTTGAGTATGCTTGGATATTCATATGTCAGATAGCCCCCCTCCCCCTTTTTTGCTTTTTTCTTTTTTTTAAATCGGTACTAGGGATTGAACTCACGACTTCCTGCTTGCAAGGCAGGCGCTTATGCTGCTGAGCTAAATCCCCAGCCCCTCAGATAGCCTTTTGATTAATTGATAATGGCTTATTTTATGCACTAATTAAGTAATTTGTCTGTTTTCACTTAAACCTTACAAGAGTCTTATGAGATTTTATACTTTTGTGTTCCCTCCTCCATTAAAAAAATTACAGTGTAGACTTCATAAGTTGACCAAGGTTGCCCAACTAGCTGGAAGTTAAAGTCTTGACCTGGCTGACTTCAAAGGCTGTGCTCTTGAACTAGTTTTATTGTACGTTGGAACATGCATTCCAAGTTCTAAGTACAACCAGGTTACTTTTGTCAGCTATAAATTCTGGATTGTTATGATCATAAACAGTCTGCTACCTGGAGTTTTCTTTTTTCTCTTTTAGTTGCATATGTTGTGTTGTGCTCTTTATGTTTTTTCCTCTGTTTATTTTGGGCCTCAAAAGTGCAACAACCATTCATACCATGTATCTAGATTGTAGTCGGCAATCCCTTGTGTACTCCTGTCGGATTGAACACAGTATATTATTTTTGTTACTTGGAATTTAAGAATGTCATTTTTTCTGTTCCCTGTCCCAACAGACTTGTCAGTTCTAGCTTGAATGCTTATTAACTCTAGGCTATGTGGTGATGGTGGTTGTGTTTGATATAGTTAGGACTACAAAATGGCATTCAAGTTACTGGCTTTATATTTTTGTATTTGGGAATTATAAGGAGAACTAAGGTTTATTTGGATGGCTTTGTCACAACTGGATACTACAACGCTTGTCTTTGCATCCAAAAACCTGCCGTTTTTTTGTTCACATATTCTATATTTTGAACAATTGTTCCTAATTTCACCATTACTATATTTCATTTTGATGGCGAGATACTTCCTCTTAGATACTAGAAGAAAACAGTTCAGAGTGCTTGTCTGTCTTGATTATTTTTCATAACTTGGAGGAGTGTTCAATCTCCCAATTTGGGATTTTCCAGGTCTATACGCTGTGTATTTATTGTGTATGCCTTGCTTGAGTTTTTTTTTTTTTTTTTGTAAGCAGCAGTTTTGAGGAATGACAAAATATTAATAGAGGTACTGTAATTAATTTGTGTTGACTGATACTAATGCTTTTGTGACCCAAGGATAATGACATTCAACACCCATTCTCTTTCTTTCTTTCTTTCTTTCTTTCTTTCTTTCTTTCTTTCTTTCTTTCTTTCTTTTTTTGTCTTCAGGATCAAAATACTTGTTAAACAGTGGACTCAGAGACCATTAAAAACAAACTCCAACATCATTTTACTGATTAACCAGGTAATTCAGTTACTTTGACTTGATTCTTTCTAATTTTTTTGACTTAAGCCTTCTGAAAATACTGCCTGCTTCTTTATGATTGATTTAAACTTGTTTGGTGCTTTTTGTTTTTTCTCTTCAGTGAATATAAATTGAGTGAATGTAATTGGGATATTTGGGCAAAGACAAGTGTATATTTGTACATCTGTATGTAGATTCATAAACAATTTTTTGGATGGAGAGAGGAAAATCTCCCTTGTATGGTTATTTGAAGGGCATTTAGTCAACATTGTAAGCAAGTGTTTACTGTTTGACCTGTGAAGACTAATTTCCCCATATTACTTTTGATATTAAAAGTGGTATTTCATCTAACCCCTTTCTTAGTTTTTAATATTGCATCAGGATAGGAAAAATAAGATTAGAAATGTCTGATATATAAGATAAATTTTTTTGGAGGGAAGGGTCTTTTTGAGATAGGGTCTTGCTATGAATTTCAGGCTCGTTTCAAACTTAGAAAGATCTTTCTGCTTCACCTTGTGGAGTACTGGGATTACAGGGGCATGCCACCATGCCTGGTTTGAGATAATAGTTTTGCTTTGCCTAGCTAGTTAAATTTCTTTTTGTTATTAATGCCATCATTTTATAATTAGCTAGTTAGGAAATCTGGTGTCTTCTTTGCATTCCACCCCCTTTTGATGATGTATTTAGTAAACAGGCATTATCTGGTTTGCAATTTTCCTGTCTTCTGCATTTGTTCCATTTTCTGTTTCTAATTTTACCTTCTTCAAGGCCCAGACCACATAATTCATACATGTATTTGTCCATGTTCCTTTACTGCTTTCTTATCTACAGTTTTCTACCCACTTCAGATTTTTACTAGAAGATTTTTTTTGGGGGTCTTTTTGAGACAGGGTCTCACTATGCAATTCAGGCTGGCCTTGAGTTCACTTTGTAGCCCAGGTTGGTCTCGAGAACTCAATGATCCTCCTGCTTTAGCCTCCATGTGTTGCGATTACAGGTGTGCATCATCATCTCATCTGGCTAGAAGATTTTCTTAAATGTATCCTTTCCCTTGACTCACAAAACAAAATGAAGCAGAACGCTTATTGGCAGAGTGCTTCTTACGCATACACCATGTCCTGGTTTTGAATCCCCAGGACAGGATGGGTGATTAGGGTTGTGGAGGTAAGTTACAAAATTTTTCTGACATTTGAAGTGGTTTGTTATTTTTTATATTGTTTTATTGGTACCGGGGATCGAACTCACGACCACCTGCTTGCAAGGCAGATGCTCATGCCGCTGAACTAAATCCCCAGCCCCCTGAAGTGGTTCTTTATTTGGAAATCTATCTTCTTCTATCCCTTTCTCTTCGCACGCTCATTACATACTTCATTGTTTTTGTAGGGGGTACTAGGAATTCAACTCAGGACCTTGGTACTGAGCTACATCCCCAGTCCTCTGGATTATTGTTTGATAAGTTGGGCTTCAATGTGATCTATTGTTTCCTTCTTCTAAAAGTGTTGGAATTATAGATAGGCCTGCACTGCCAACCCAGCTATATACACTTTCCTGAACAGTTTGAAAGTAAGCTATACACACTGTGCTTCTTTCCCTCTAGAACTTCTGCTGTATTTTTTAAAGAACAAAGTGTTAGACATTTTGGTGCTTATTTGCTGTTTCAGTTTCTCACATTAGTGAGACAAATATAATGTTTATACAGGTGAGTCAGATTTATTTCACTCAAGAGTACGGTCTCACGTTGCATCCATTTATTTTAGAAATGTCCCATTTATCCTTCTTTATGGCCTAGTAGTACTCAATTATATATTAAAAACACATTGTTACCCTTGGTTTATGGTCATTTGAGTTGTTTCTGTGATTTAGTTATTAAAATCTGTGCTGCTATAAATTTGAGTGCACATATTGCTGTGGTATGATGCATTTAATTCTTCCAGGAAGATACCCAAAAGGGGAATAGCTGGATCAAACGTGATCTCTAATCCTAGTTTTTTGAGGACTCTCCAGCAGTGTAGAAGGGTTCTTTTCCCCTGCAACTCCTCCAGTATTTGTTAGTGATTGTTTTCTTGATGATAGCCATTCTTTCTGTAGTGAGATTGAACCTCAGCATTGTTTTTTTTGGTTGTTGTTGTTCTCGTTTTTTTGTACTGGGAAGTGAACTCAGGACCTCATGCTTGCCAGCCAGGCAGGTACTGTGCAACTGAGCTGAATCCTCTGTCCTACGTGTTTTTTTGGGGGGGTCTTTTTGAGAGTTTTAATTTGTACCTCTCATTCAACATCAATCATTGATGTTGAACATTTTTCCATGTATTTTTTTGCCATTTATTTTTCTTTATCTGAGAAGTGTGTATTCATGTAAATAAGGACCAAATTGTACAATACATATTGTGAAAAGGGAAGGAAAAAAGTGGGGTGAAGGAGAGAGAATGGAAGAGAAAAGGGAAAAAATGATTAAAAAGCAATGAAAACAAAGCTTTGTGAAGAGGATGGAGAAAGATGGGTTAAAGAGAGGTGAGAGGATGGGGAAGAATAGAGTAATGAAAACATACATGTACAAATTACCATTGGTGACTATGATTATGTACATCTTAAATGTATCAATAAATGTATATTAAAAGCAGAATTAAAATGTTTTACATACATGTATCTGCTTTCCATAGAAATATAATTATTATCTACTGGAAACATGAACAATTATATTATAAAATTAACCTTTTATAACCTGTAAGTTTAAGAATTTTATCATTGACAAATACCTATTGCCCACATTCCTACCTTATTGCTTGACCTGATAAATTTCATACAGAGTGTCATGTACGTACTACCTGTATGGAATTCCAATCTGAGATAGGTACCACATTTAGTTATCTGTCGTTTACTGGAATAGTCTACCACCCTCCTTGTTTACTTGTTTCCTGTTTGTGTATGTGTGTGTGTATGCGTGTTAAGGTTTCACTACGCAGTTCAGGATGGCCTTCTGCTCATTTTGAAGCCCAGGCTAGCCCAGTGATCTTCCTACCTCAGCCTTCCAGTACTGGATTTACAGTAAGGTGCCACCATGCCTGGCGGTTTTTCTCTTTCGTTGAGACAGCTTTTCACTATATAGTCCTGGCTGGCCTCAACTCGCAGCGCAGGCATGTTCCACCATGCTGGGATTCACCTTTCTTTTTGAGACAGGATCTTACTTCGTAGTTCAGGCTGACCTCGAACTCTTCTGGATCTTTCTGCTTCAGCCAGTAGGTGTCAACACTTCTGGCCTCCAACATTAAATCTTGACCCTTCCCACCCAAAGGTACCTAGGGGCCTCTTGCATGCTCCAAGGCAAGCGCTGTACCACTGAGCTATATATATTCCCCCTCCTCCATCCTGGTATAATGTTTCCTACAATGAGATACGGAGATGATGTACTTATAGCTGCTTAGATAGATGACTTTATCCAGAGAACAACAAAGAGGTTTTGCAAGTGCATGATGTCTACTGGATCCTCTCTGTAATGTTAATTTCAACTTCGTGGCCACCACACTCATTGTCAGATTTCTCTAGTATTGCACTCCCTTGCTATGTGGGGAGATAACAGAGATATTATTAAGATCTTCATCAAAATGGATTCAGTGATGTTTCTTGACTGCAACCTCCGCCTTTTGCTGTAATAGTTACAAAAAGGTCAGTGCCCTCATTGATCCCCTCATCTTGACCCTGTTGTTAGTTCAGTGTTGTTTTTGTTTGATGTTGGGGATTGAATCCAGGGTCTCATACAAGCCAAGGGAATACAGTTCTACTACTTTGTTACATAGTCAACCCTCATCCCATCATCTTGACCCTTCAAGTAGATAAAGCTGGAAAATAAACCTGTGTGCATTTGTATATGCATGTGTGTGTAAGGATGTACATATTTTACAAACAATAAATTTATGTTATGTCTATAGAGTTTGTATCTAAATTTCATTTTCACGGCTCTTTTAAAGAGAATGAAACAAAACAGGAATATTGAACCTCAGAAAAAAGGACAGTAGGAAATCAACCGTAGTATAATGCACGTTGTTATCTTCCAATTAGTTTCTCAGACTACAAGATATAGGAATACAAAGTTAAGTTGTCTTTTTACTTCTGCTGCTATCATTTCAGAAATTTCAGGTATGTGAATTACAATTTCTTTTGTGTTTGTGTCTCCTGGACTTGTTCTGCATGGGCTGGAGGTCACAGTTTGTACCTTGCTCCTTAGTCCTGATATTTTTCTGTGTTCCTCCAGTTCAGCTGGTTGGTGAATCCTTATTTCCTGTGCTGACTGCCCTCAAGCCAGTGGTGGATTTGCTGTGGGGTTGTGGTTGGCCCTTTGATGGCAGCAGGGCCTTGGGAGAAAGAGTCTCTTTGTCTGCTGCTTATGGCCCTTCTTATGCTTTGAGAATTTTGGTCTTTAAAATTGTCAGTGTTTACTCACTCCTGTAATACATCTAAAGGAATTTTAGAATTGAGATGTCCATTTTACTATAGTAAAGAAACTTTAAACGAGTGGATAATTTGTTTAATTGCCCAGTTCTGCCCATGATGAGAGAGAACATTTAAAATTTTACTCTTAAATTACTTTGTTTGCAGATGGGCATGGAGGTGCATACCTGCAATCCCAGCACTCGGTAGGCTCAGGCAGGAGGATTGCTGGGAGTTCGAGGCCAGTCTGGACTACAAAGTGGGTTGAAGGCTATCCTTAACTGCACAGCAAGACCCTGTCTCAAAAAGAAACCTATGGCCTTTTATATGCTAGAGAGTGAGTATTATAGAACTGAGCTACATATCTAGCCCTTTTAAAAGTATTATTTTTAGACTAAGTTTTGCTGAGCTCCAGACTGGCTACCAACTTGAAATCCTCTTGCCAAGCTGGCTTGATGGCATACACCTGTAATCTCAGTTTTTGAGAAGGTGAGGTAGGAGGATTACCATGAGTTTGAGGCCAGTCTGGGTATATTGTTATTTCAAGGTCAGGTTGAACTATGTAGTAAGATCCTCCCCTGTCTAAAAAAAAAAATTGAGCTACCATGCCTGGCTGTTTGTTTTGCTTGCTTTTCAAAGCTTTATGTTCCTTCTGATTTTGAATGATTTTAATTTTGAAACATGTATACTATTAGTATGGTTTCAAAAGTCAAAATCATGGATAAGGTTGCAGCTCAGTGGTAGAGTGCTTGCCTATCATGTTCAAGGCCCTGGGTTCATTCCTAGCCTTATAAAAACCAAAGCAAAAGTCAGAGCCAGTACAGAGTATATATTCCCTCCTATCCATACCACTTTCTCTCATTTGTCATAAATAATTTTTCTGGCTTGTTTCTTTTTCGATAAGTAGATTTATGAACATGTTATTTATTTTTTGTTTACACAAAAGATAGCGTACTATACTCCTGTATCTCCTCTTGGGTATCTTGGGAATAATGTCACTTAATGTGAAATCTTTCCCATTTTGTTTTATTTCTATGGCATTAAATACATTCACAAGATTGTGGAGTCATCAACATCTGTCTCAAGATCAATTTATGTTTCCCAGCTGAAATACTGTACCTTATTAAATACCTCATTTTCTCATTTCCTTAATCTACCTCATATTAGTTTGTATTATCTCCGAGTCTCCATTGTTTACATATATTATATACAATATTATAGTTTATTCAGGCAACTTTTTTTGGCTGCATAGTATCTAGATTGTTTCTAGGGTTTTATAATTAAAATACTGTAATCAGTAACTTTGTGAATGTTCATTTTGCATATTGTTATGTGGTATAACTTCACAGATTTCTAAAAGTGGTTTGAAAAAAATGTAACTTTAGTATTTGTTTGAGGCTTTTATTTTACTTTATACAGATTGTGTGATTTTGGACTTTGATCAGCAGTGTCTTCCCTTAATCAACCTGTGTATATTTGAAAAAGATTCATAGATATTGTATAATTTTTTGTTTTTTATTTTTGAATAATATTCCATTGTGTGTATGATGTAACTTTTTTCCTTTAGTATTTGGCATTGTCTTTTTTTTTTTTTTTTTTGGTCTTTTGTCTTTTTCCCTTTTTATCGGTACCGGGGATTGAACTCACGACCGCCTGCTTGCAAGCAGGTACTTATGCCTTTGAGCTAAATCCCCAGCCCCCATTTATCTTTGTTTTGCTGTTTAATTTGAAATTGAATACTG